AAGTGGAAAGCCTTGCGAGCCTTCTAAAGATAAGGATGCCAATCCCCCAAAAACGGTTGAATTTCCAATTTCAAGACGACCAAAACATAGCCTAGAACAAGATCTGCAATTCTAGACTACTCTCAGCTCGGTAGCTTTCAAGATCGGAGAGCTAGGCAGGTTTTCCGGACAGAACCTGATTCCAGTCTGGACAAGCCTGTGAAACTGGGAAAAGGTCGAAACATAGGTAGTCGAGTGCGCTGAACAGCGTGGCAATGTTTATTTTTGTTTGTGAGTTGATCAGAGGACGCCTAAAACTTTTTTCTTAAAAACCGAGTTTTTGCCAATGGACCGTGAGGGTTTCAACGGCCTTAAACTAGTCATTTTTGATCAGAAATGGCTGAAATTTTTACGAGACACTCAGAACAAGTTAAAAAAGTTGCTAAAAGCGGAAAAAGTTTTAAATTTAAAGTTTTGAAGGTCGAGGTTTCCTAGAAACTTCTAGAAACCTCTCTCATTTACTTTTTGAATCTGAAAATATTAGGTCGCTAGCTTTTATCTGAAAAACGTTATTCAACAAATAGCGAGGGACCTTATGTTTTGGCGACGATAGTAGTATAATACTGCTCTAACTTACATGAGGGTGCCCACCAACATTCACCAAAATTCGGTAATTGATATTCTAATGAATATTCTGAAATTTCAAATCCGAACAGTGTAACCACGCATAACCAATGATCACGTAATATTAGTGCCTAAACATATACATGTGCATATACATATGTAATATGATAAGAAACATACATCTTACTGAAAACCACCAAACGAAACAATATGACGGCACAAAAAAATCTAGTTTATCCTGCAAGAACAAAACAAAAAACTCACTTGACAAATAGATCTCAAAAATTGTTTACTTTAACAAAATGAAATGGATCTTGTGGATGATTCCAGTCGTAAATGTCGCAACCACAAGCATAATTTTTCTCTGATAATGGACGATTTAATGATGAATCAATATCGGTTAATAGTTGTCGAACATTATCAACGGTCTATAAACGATATCATCATTATTCTCATATAAGGTATATCTGTTCAATTTGAAAAACCCTTGAGTAAGTAATACAATAAGAAAAACAAACGTCAGTACTAAGAAAAAGATTACATAAAAAAAAGACAAAATGATATCGTTGTTATAAGATACGTCCATAGACAGTCAACCACAACAAAAACTAAAAGTGCTCAGAAAAC